TGATCAGGTGTGTTTTAAACGCAGCGTAGTTCATGAACGGTACACAGAGGAGCAAGTTGTTGGAAGATGCATGCAGCAGTGAAGAGTGTGGAGTTTGTAGAGGTGGTAAAAATGTAAATATCAAAATATCTGTTATATTTGTGGCCCTAGCTTTATTGGTGACACCTGATAGCACCTAGAAAACTGTTTTATTCACATTTTTGTAACTTAAACAATCACCCATAAAATCCAGCTTTCGTTTTTACTCTTTCTGTTTTGAAGCATTTTTGAATCGTCTCTACTTCTAGTCAAGGTTGTGCTTTTAAAAAAACTCTTTCCAGGGTTAGTTTCTGAATTAACCGGACAACCCGATGCTTATTTCTTTCTCTTCCCCTGCGACAGATGATGGGAAGATCTTCCACGGCAGCGGCGTTGGAGATGCTTTCGGTCCTCGCTGCTTCAAGGGTGACATCATGGGCTGCGGCATCATGTTCCCACGAGACTACATCCTGGACAGGGAAGGTGAGGCCGTAATGTCGGCGCGCTACAGTTACACGGGCCCTCGTTAAAGGGCTTGGTTGCGCTCTTAAACCTGCTTTTTGTGGTTTAACGTGAAGCATCGGATGCAACGTTCGTGCCGCGTTTGGGACAGAAACCTATTTGCAGGTAGACAGCAGCGAATGTTATCTAACCTCACAAGGGCCCGCCAACAAACAAAACATCTCCGGTCGTGGCACTAATGAACATGCTTGCCGTCTTGCTGCGTTACCTGATCTGACATTTTATCAGCGAGTGGTCGTGTGGCACAGCGACAACTCGAGCACAGTCTGCTCTTTCAGGTGAAAGCCTTTTCTCAGCCCCGCCGTGCTGTGCTTTGTCCTCAGGCGACATGGACGACTGGGACCGGCTGGAGGTCCGCCCGGCTCACGCAGGTGTCCAGAATGTTCTGTACCTCAACGACGAAGAGGAGGAGGAGGACGAGGAGGACGGGGAAGAGGCAGAGCAGGAACAGGAGGGCAGGAAGGTCACGGTGAGGAGGACTTTCAGACACGGCACATCACTTACAGCTCAGTCGTGGCTTAAATCTGCTTTGATTGATTTTCGTTTTTGCTTTAACAACATTTTACAGATTGTGGTTTGTTCGCAGCTGATTCACTCATCCAGCAGCTTTGACGTTTCAAGCCTTGACCAACATGTGAAGCTGGTCCCTAACTTCACTTTAACGTCATTTAGTCCTGGGCATGTGTGTCTGTCAGAGCTTTTTGTTTTTTGTTTTATTTTTTTTGTTAGAAATACCAAACGTAAGATGATGATAATGGTCGATGACAGCGGGGGCTGGGAGGTGTTTTCAGATAACGAGCTTCGTTATAAAGCTTATTATCGTTCCTGTGATTTCCAGGGCAGCCAGTCATGCTGCTACCCATAATTATCAAAGCCACAATATCTTCCACCGGCCATAAAAAAAACGGAGGACAGTCGACAAATATAGCCGCTCTACCCTGTCATTGTGTTTTATCACGAAGTCCTGTTCTGCTCTTTTGTTTATTTTTCACTGTTCTATCAATTTCATTGCCTATAACAGTCCTATTATTTGGTTTTGTTTTTCCAGAAACTGTTTCAAGGTAAACTGGCTGACGTCTGACTTAGCTGCTAGCTGTTAGCATAGCTTTAGCATCTGTGAAAGTAGCTAATGTCCAAATTTGTGGTGATGACTGGGCTTCTTTAGCTTTTGCAGATTCTGTCTTTGCTGGTGAGACGTGTGGAGATCTGGTTAGCGTCGGCACCAGGCTGCAAGTCACGGCAGACCTTTTTGCGATAGCCTTAGCCTAGCATAGTCTTGAAATATGTTCCAGTGGTGTTTGTTACAGCTTCAGCATCATGTGCCACCTCGTCGCTCTGCTGGTTCACTGAGTCTGTAAATGTGCTCGTCTGTCCCTCTGCGTAAACAATCGCTGTCAGCGGTTGGCTGTTACTCATGACTTGTAACCAATCAGAGCGAGTTGTGGGCGGGACGTTACTGAGACCACAGAGTGACTACAGACAGAGAGGAGGCTGCGTCAGAACCAAAGTATTCGATTTATTTTATCGGCCATTATTAATACCAATAATCAACGAATGACTGGTATCGGCCTAAATATTCACTCAGGCTCATAATCGCTTGATAAATTCTTGACTTAACCTCTGGAGACATTCAAGCTGTACTTTGAGAGCCTCGAGTGTTTGCATAAGGCTGTTCATACGAATATGAACAAGTGCATGATTAAAGGTCTGCATTCGGAGGTATGTCAAAGTGCAGCGATGCAGTCAGCGGCCACGCATGTTGAGGATCTGGATTGTTTG